ACGAACGGAGCTGTAACAGTACTTTCAATGTACGTGTAGAATTTTTTTAGTTAATTTGGTAGTCGTTTGATATATATAGAATTAAAGTATATTCAGCAATGCTGATTTAACTATGAGCGGCTTAACGTCTTCTATAGCACTTTAATTAAATTAGTATTTTTGAATTATATAATTAAAACTACTTACCTCCACTCTCTGGGCAGTGAAAATTCGGGTCTAGCCCTTTACCACATAGCTTGCTTACTTTATCAACATTTCCATTAGTTACATGGTCAATCATTCGACGAAAAGTTGCCTGAAAACAAATATGCCAGCAACTTTTTTGAGCATTACGATAGTAATAACACTTCAGCTTATAAAATACGAAAAAAGAAAAGGCTAATGAAGTTACAAATATATGCTGTTGCATAATATTACTATTAGGCTACTTCTCTAGAGTCGTCTGGAACAGAATGTAAGAAAGTCAATGTACATAATAAACAAATGAATAAACAATTTTGTAAAAAAAGAACGAATAAATATTATATTTTTAACAGTTCGAAAACACGCTAGAACATGCTATTCTTAATACCAAATAAAAAATAGATTTTTACCCGTGTGTGTAGTTGCTTATTTTGCTTGTCATCAGCGTTCATCATCTTGGAAACACGGCGTTTATATCGCAGCTAAAAAAACATAAAAACAATAATCTATCGCTTTGATCATTTTACAAACAGAAAGTTTAAATTAGATACAAAAGTCATCATTATCCATTATCTTGTGAACATTTGTGTTTATTGTATATTACTGGAAAATACTAAAACATCCGTGCAAATAAGCTACCATAAAGTTACTGCTAAAATATAAACCTGTTTATTATATAGTTAAATACATACATTTAAAATAAAAATTATCACATGGGGAAAAGTAGGAAAGCTTTCGAATATTATCATTTATACTTGTCATACGACGTAAGTATTAAGTCTATAATATTTTTCAACACTACATTCTTTATTCAATCCTCTTTTTTTTTCAAGAAGAAGAGTATATATTAGTATTTTGTCCACATTACGTTCGTCATATATCCATTGTCGACGACGTGTTTCGTACATTACAGAGATCATCAGGCCGGCTTGGATACAACAAATACAGTAGTCGTCGGAATACTACTTATATAAGCCATTTGTTAAAACAACAATTTTTATGAATCTAAGTTTTAACTGCCTGTTGTAGAAACCTACAAATGTAGAGGACGACGTTTCGAAAGTCTTCCGCCTTTCGTCGTTTTTATATTGTAAACGCCTTTTCTCAACTGATGAAGCATTATTATAATTAATTAACCCTGTCCTAAGACATTAGTATCAGACCTATTATATTTTCAACACTACATTCTTTATCCAGTCCCTTAGGGTATTTCAAAAAGAAGAGTGTATAACAGAATTTAAACCTCACATTACTCTTAATTTTAAGGTTTTTTTTATTTCACTATACTTATAAAAACTAGTTTTCTGCGTCAAAAGTACCGTAACACATATATAGAGGTCTAGCCTAGGCGAGAGTTCCTACTTTCTTTAGCGATGTACATCTAAAATTATAAAAAAAAAATCATTTAAAGTTGTTAGTTAATAAACTTACTTCAAGATAACCCACAGTATCAATCAATGGATATTCCGTTAGTAACCTCTCTTCATCTAGAAATTTTCCTGCTTTCCCGTTCTTTGGTAACATAAACAAACCATAGTTTACACTATCGTTCAGGTCCTAGGAAAATATCAGATAAATATTCTAAATACGTTGCATAGTTAATATCTGGCTATTAATAAACTTATGAAGTTACATTCTCTTTCATAAAATTTATATTACCAAATATTTATTCTTTAAATAAGTATCTACCTTTTAATTTTGAAATCGCTAAATATTGCAGTTGTTTTTTTTTAAATGACTGATCATCATAAATATCAAGAAAACCCGTGATAAGTTTTTGGTAGTAGACTGACAAACAGATAGTGAGATATTTAATTTCTACAAAAAAAGATTAGGATAGGTTTCGAAGTTTCTTTATTAGACTTCGACCACTGTATGATCTTTATATAACTAAAAATAATATGACAATAATATGTGCATTCTTTATCAAGTTGGTGAACTACAGGTACTACCATTTTTGTATTTTTTGCAGTACACAAAAACAGAATATACTCATTTCGAAACTAATATGAAATAAGGTAAACTTAGATAGTAAAGGTTATAACAAAATTATCTGGGTACAAGGAGGTGGAAAAGAATAGAACACAAGGTTCACATACTAAATGTTACTTACTTTCGGTAGAGAGGACAGAACTTGTTGTTTGACATCCCACACCAACTCGTCTTGGTGAAACTGAAAACACTTCTGAAATATAAAGGGATATGTATACTTTTTTTTGGACTTATGTATATAAACTATACTGGATTTCTATTTTTTCACCTTTTAACCACCTTTTATTTTTTTGGACTTATATATATAAACTATACTGGATTTCTATTTTTTACCTTTTAACCACTTTTTGAATGACAATGCTATTTTTTAACCAAGTACGAATTACTTTGTACACACTCAAAAGCAAGACATTGTTAGATGTTTTGTAAACCCAACTGAAATCTGTTAACACCCACTTTTATGGTGTTAGTAACTTAAGTACTGATATAAACCTGAAAATGAAAATAGAGTAATGAAAAATATCTGATGTAAAGTGGCAAAAAATACAAAATGGATTACACAGTATCACATATAGTTAAAAAAATTATGTAGCATTCATTCTCACGCATTTTGTTCACCTTTGAAAATTTCACTTTTGTTTTCGTAATTCATGTACTTTAATTAAACTATCCCACTACACCATTAATATTCAAAGACATTACTAACAGAAAGCATAACCAAGACCTTTACATAAAAATATTTGTCTTTGTTTGGCTGTAGAAGATATCATTACATTCATTTCGCTTATAAATTAAAAAATGTTACGTTTCCAAAATGGAGTAATATAAATTTAATGAATAAACCCAAAACACATATAACAATGACATTATATTGAAAGGACAAATAATAACGTCAGTAAGTCACTCGATACTTACGACTACTAGTGTATTGGGTAAATTCATTTCTAAATCAAAGAAAAGTAGAATTACAAACAATAAAGTTTAATATTTTTTATAATCATATTGGAATGAAGTAGTCAGTAATATAACCTCATCCCTAGATATAATTATTTTCCAGTTTCCCGTAAATAGTAAAATAGCCATCTCTAAAGCATTCACGCACTTTGTCATATTGAATTACAGTTGCAACTTTCTCTCCATGAAGCTCCCTCTACACTGCATAACTCAGACTTTTTTAAGTTTTTATTTCAAAGTAAAACTTGGTTAAAGGTTATGTTAATCAAACAACTTCAAGGACACTGTTTAGTTGTTGTTTTTTCCCTCTCAAACTCACTTTAGAGTTCAGCAAACAAAGGAGGTCCTGGTTACCGTATATTCATTACTTACAAAATTCGATGTCGTGTAGACAAATGTTCCATTCAAGCTTCTCTCTCTCTATTCACACACGGATATATATAGCTAAACATCCCACGTTTTTCATGTCTCCCTGTTCATACAGAAGTAATTGTGAATGTTCTCTAGTATCCGGGTTTTCAGCATTATTCAAACCATGTTGCACAAAGTTCTCAGTAGGTGGCAGTTTAGAGCAAGAGGAACAAATGCATGAATGTTTGTACAAGTTGGAGAAAGTCATGTATGGAAGCATGCGTTTACAAAAGGGAGGGAAGTATACATGTATATAAGTACAGGGAAGCGTCTATTTACGAAGAGAAGAAACGATTCACAATAAAAGAGAGGAAAGCATGTACAAGTGAATGAAGAAAAGTTGGTATATGCATAAGTAGTTACGATATTTACTTGAAGTCGACAAAGTCCTTCATGTCATCATTCACTATACCTTGTATCACAAGTTCTTAAGCACAGTCTTATCCATAACCTTGCACACATATAAATATAAAAAAGTATTATATTCATTAAGTGAAGTTTAATTCACAAATGAAGTTTTTACTTCTATACGCCTTCATTATTGCAAATATTTTGTCACGGATCTCCATTTAAAGCTTTTAGGATTTGATATATTGTTTATTTTTCGGTCGAATTTACAGCCTGAAACAAACTAAAGAATGGATTAAATAATACATAATTGTTTTTCTCATGAACCTTATAAAAATATAAATAAACAGTTAAAAATTTACCTTGTGTTAAAAACCGGATTTAATCATACAAATGCGAAAATGATATATAATCATCAACTGATTAATTTATGTTATATGAGCATATTTTAAAGCATGAAGAAATCGGAGTGATGAATTTACAGAGCAAAATAAATCAATGAGAAAACGAATTGTTTTTATGGAAATCGTAAATCTGAAAAGTTAAACTAGATTGTACACGTAACAAGCACGCACACGCACAAGACATCGTCATGGTAACATAAACAAAAAACACGCAAAGAGATCACAAACAAACAAGTGTACCTCAAGATGGAGCTCCGGAACAAAAACACGCACATTCACGATACCCTCACTAGTCTGGCTACTGCTGTCATCTGCTGTTTCCATGGCAACTGCCTTCATGACCACCCTATTCCTACATCTGGAAATAGAAGGAAATGTGTCATGTAAACATCAAGCACGACAGTCTATTCAAACAACTTTTGAGAAAGCTTTATGTAATCACAAATATATCAAATCTTCTGCAAGCAATAAATTATATAATTTGTGTAACCACTGTAAAACAAAAAACAACAACAAAAATCTATGTATAACATGTATATTATTGTAATCCAATACAATACCTGTGCATAAAAACCACTTTCATTTTGTGCTTTTAACAACTACAGATTTGAGAACGAGCATACACTTGGCATACAAACGCGCGCGCGCACACAAATAACTAGAAAGAAGGCACACAAAAAAAGAAAACAACTACTACTAAAAGTTTATTTGAGGCCTGACATGGCCTGTTAGTTAGGGCACTCAACTCTCAAGCTGTGGGTCGTAGGGTTGAATCTCGCCAGAGAACATACTTGTCCTTTCAGTCGTTGGGACGTTACAATGCTAAGGTCAATCCCACTTTTCGTTGGTAAAGAGTAGCCCAAAAGTTGGCGATGTGTGGTGTTGACTAGCTACATTCTCTCTAGTTTATCACTCCTAAATTACGGACGGCTAGCGCAGATAACCCTAGAATAGCTTTGTCTCAAGTCCAACAAACAAAAACAAGTTTATACACATAAACCTAAATTGTAAGTTCAAAGACACAGACAGTTAACTTGGGTTTAGAAATAAATATAAAGCTAAGCACTATGTCAAAAAATAGACAGAAAGCCAAATAGTAAGCATACAATTAACAATTAAAAAAAACAACTTGAAAAATTACATTTAAGGGTACATAGAAAGTTAAATAGTAGAATTATACACGGACAGAAAACTAACCTGTACGTTCATACACAAAATAGAAGATTTACAAATGCACAGAACTAACTTGAATGTTAACTAGAAAGTTTCAAAAAGGCTCTAAAATGTAGATGTATAGTCACAAAGAAAACCAGATTCTTGTTCTACAACTACATGGAAAACTAAGTTTCTAGTAATTTACTGAATTAATCTCAATCAAATAGTTTCTTTAGTTTGTGAATACGTTTGATAGATTTTGTACGAAGCAAATCAAACAATTTGTTCCTTCTTTTCACGGACGCCTTTAAAAATGTTTTTTCTGTACAGCTTTCTCTTTAGGCAAAATAAAAAACATTTCATGGCGTAAAACAATGTCATTGTCCACAACATGGTATTTTTATCTGATTTGTTTTCCATCAAATAACACTTTTTATTAAAAGCTTAAACTTTGTATAAAAATTAATCAATGATTCTAAATTATGCATTTTGCATTTTAACTGAGAGTAAGCTGGTATTACTTTTAATCATGAATATTGATATTTGAAAAGTGTTTGGTATTCTTTAACTAAAAAAAAAAGAGAACCTATTGTATTTTACGAAAATTTTGCACCCTTTTAAATTTGCGCCTCAATCAATAAAAAATATGGCTTTTAAGTGGAATTTCTCTCCATGGTGGTTTTGTTTCAATTCGTCATTCCTCAACATGAGAAGTCAATCTGGCATAGCAAAAACTGCTTATAGGTGCATAACACTTTTTAAAGACAAAATTATATCTATTTTTCTATTAAGTAGCAACGCCTCTTAGTATTATAAACCAGATTTATAAAATTAAGTTTAGTTACATCTCAAATGACTCCGTGTAGCAAACCAAGAGTCCTGTATAAAACACACCAACCAATCTCCGCATTAAATCGCTATCACAGACCAGCCAAACTGTCGACACTGTAGGCTGTTTCATATCTTATATCGATCTGTTGTGAAGCTGCTCCCAAAGCATTAAACTCAACGTAATTTCCTACTAATCAGCTTTATGTTGCAATCAACTGTTTTATCTTTTATATTAATTCAATATAAAAAGTAATCAGGTTCGATGTTACAACAATTATCGAAACATTATTTTTTATTCAGATTTTATTAACTCTTTCTTATACTTAATTTTATGTCGTAAGTTTTGTTTTTTCATGTCTTAATACATTTTTGCTACTAAACCGTACAGTACACTGATTTCGTCAAAACCACCAGAATTTTATATAAAAACTTCAAGAGAAATATTCTACGTCAAGTGTTTTAATTGCGGTAAGAAAAGAGAGAATATATATAGTTCTATATGATCAAAAGAAAGTTAAAAATTAAGAATATACCAAGCTTAAAAAGATAATAGTTCATATTATTCGCCTAACAAAAAACAATAGTTTAGAAGCATTAGGAAAAGAAGTAAAGTGAAATAGCTGAAGCTAATGACAGATTACAAATAAATAGAAGAGAGAGGAAGTGCAAAAAAAACAAAAAAAAACAACAACAACTGAAAACATAGGGAACTACTGACTGGGAGAATAGACGGATATATAAAAAGTGTTAAAAACAATAAGCCTGTAGAAGTGTCAAGAAAAGAAACGGTTTGAAAAGTACAAAAGTTAATGAGAGAATAAACAAAGAAATACAACACGAAAGAATGATAATCCATTGAAGAAACGACAAAAAAAGAACTCTGAAATAGTATAAGCTAATTAGATGACACACAATTAGATGTACGACGAGAAACCCAAACATGATAGAGAAATGGAGAAATAGTCTGAAAGATGTAACAACAAAGATGATGAAGAAGAAAACACAGACAAAGAACGATGGATTAAAAGCTGTATAAAACAACAACAGAACGATTCGATAACGCAACAATTCCTGGAGAGGAGAGGTAGAATAAGAGACAGTATTTTAACAAAGCACACGGACAGCCTAGCTTACAGTCAGAGAATCCTCTTGGTGAATGACATGCGTTAACTTGTTTCTCATCTGCATAGTAACACAATACGTAGACATCGAAAATAATAATGAATACGTTTACTCCTACGTGCTAGGATATTTGGTTTAGAAAGTGAAGTTTAGTCCTATGTATATTTACATAGAAGAATGCTGTAAGGGCTGCTTTTGATGAACAGGTATCGGTTTACTGGTTACATTCACTTTGGATTCTACGCAGGAAAAAAGTAGGCGTTCAAACTAATACATCATATAAAACATTCATATAAACTGATGATAAACGCCATTAATCAAAAACCGCAGACAGATATTTAAATAACTGGACCAATAACCACAAAGCTCTCTGTTTTAACAGAGAGCAAATACAGACATTACGTCTAAATTATTTGTAATTATTAAGGCAAGGATGATATATTTTAGAAGAGCAACGATATTTTCTTCTTAGACTTGTAATATTGGTATGTCTTTGCTACCTATCTAGAAGGTTTTTTTTTGGTTATTTGCTTTGAAGAAAATAGCTGTAGGATATCCAATTCGCCACAATATCTAATTTCCTAATAACCCCCACTTCTTCTTACCCAAATCCCAGTATTTCATCAAACTTCGAATCCCAATTCGATGGAAGTAGACTACGTTCCTTGAAGGCAAGAAACCTACAAAGGATTTCAAATATGATGGTAAAAAAGTCGATAATAGAAAAAGGTGGACTTACTTTTGTTATAACAATCTTACTGCTTGTCCTTCTTTAGAAGATGAACACAAACACTGTTATGTAAACGCCTAGTTACTGCTTGACGGATGCTGATCACCTGACTCGGATCAGCCATGCGCCACGTGCAGTACATAATAAACTTTCTGTTTAATAACGTAACTCATCCACCTATACAAGCCTCTCGTTACTCGGTTTACTCCCCGCAGCCTTTCATGTTACCTAGGGGTCCCTCCCGTCTCATCAGAAACCACCACGTAATTTCCTGATTTACACTTCTCTGATATACCTGTCTACGGAACCAACTATTTACATGAGGTAAAGATTCATTTGACGCTCGCCCTGTTAAAACCTAGAGTAAATACCTTTAAATATTTTGAGGTTAAGCTTTTAACTTGTAGGCAAATAAAAGTTGTGATGTGTCATCTTGTTGTTCTTGTATGTTTTTCTTCATTAATCAGCATGTCTATCCTATGCACTACATTATAGACATACCGATAAAGAAGAATTAACTTCAGAACTCCGTCATTTACATATCACCATATCTCCATTGTTTAGGTCAAAACTTTATAGGCCTACATCACGTGTACTGCTATAGGAATCTACAGTTTATGACACTTTAGCATTAAAAGTTGTAAAATTACAAATAGAATAAACACGACATAGCTTTTTCCGAATCATAAAACACTAACTGTGTTTAAGAATTAAAGATTAATGGTTGGTCAAAAAATAATATGCTATACCCCATTAGCTTATTAATGTTTGCAAAAATAATTATTAAAATATTTTTCCTACAAGAAATAAAAAGCTTTACAGAAGCCAGAGCTATACTTATTTACCCGATTGGGCACCCATTGGCTCAGCAGTAGGTCTGAGGGCTTATAACGCTAAAACTCTGGTTTCTGTAGTTGCGGGGCCCGGCATGACCAGGTGGTTAGGGCGCTTGACTTGCAATCTGAAGGGCGCGGGTTCGAATCCCCGTCCCGCCAAACATGCTCGCTCTTTCAGCTGTGAGGGCATTATAATGTGACACTCAATCGCACTATTCGTTGGTAAAATAGTAGCCCAAGAATTGGCGGGGGGGTGGTAATGACTAGCTGCTTTCTCTCTAGACTTTCACTGCTAAATTAGGGACGGCTAGCGCAGATAGCTCTCGTGTAGCTTTGCGTGAAATTACAAACAAACCAACCCAAACTGTACTTGCGGTAGCCAAAGCACAGATAATACAATGTGTATTTTGTGCTTAAACATAAACAAACTGCTCGATTGGAGATGATTAATATCTAGTCATGTATGAACATTTCGGAAGGATGGTCACTATGAAAGTCTCATCGTGCATTATAATGGTTCTACTTTTTTAAATAGTTTCAAGTTTCAAAAACACCTTTGTATTTAATATCAAGGTTCAATATTTCAATTCAGTTACTCACCATGTTATAGTAAATTAAATTACACATCGCTAGTCTACAAAAACAATGTATTGTTTAAAAGCTTATTGATTTTATTTATTACTA